AGGTGACGTCATGCAGTGAGGAAAATTAATATGAAATTATGTGTGCAAATTAGTTTCAATTTGTTATCGGATATTATTTTCAAACTAAGGAATGTTGTATAAAAATATTAAATTGAAATAAATTATTTGAGATTTGAGTCGAGTATTTCCACAAGCCTTAAGATCTTCTTCACATTGTAAATTTCAGATTCTAGCTGCTGGAAAAGCAGAGATAATAATATAAGATTAAAGATAAATTATCGATAATTATCGTTTTCATGAAATTTCTTCTTAGAATATCTGTATCCATATTTCCCTCACAAAATTAGGTTAAATGTTCATTTATTTACTCCTTTCTTTCCCTAAATATGTCATAAACGTTTATAATCGAAAATTACCCATATATCGATAATTCTAGCTCTACTCTGCGACTCTATTAATGCCTAGCCTGTGTGTGTGAAATATCCCTGTAATTATCAGGCAAATGTTCTAGCCGAAACGTTGTTTCCAATTAAAATCAAAAATCTATACCAACTTAGACTGTAATCACATGTGGCCATGCACTGAGAGTGCGACAGAGATGGAGCGACGGTAATTGCAGTAGAGAGAGTGAGACATGCAGGGGAGAGACGACACAGCACAGTGAGAGCGAGGGAGGTGGGCGTATTTCTTACATTTTATGGCCCAAATTCAATGCTGGTAATTAAGTCTGCAAAATCCAATTATGGCAAACTTTTCTCCAAAGTCTCACCCCCCCAACATCTCTCCCTCTCTCTCTTTCTCACTACCTTTGTCTATGTGTATTTCGCCTGGCCCCTTGACATGTGAAGGAGTCAAGGTGTCTTCTTTCCTCTGTCTCTGTCTCTGTGTGCCAAAGTGTGAAGTTTTCTCTCGGTGTAGAGCATGCGGCATGTGGCATGTGGGGCATGTGTGTGTGTGTGCGTGTGAGAGTGCATTTATAAGTGATATGCAGAGCATGCAATTAACAAGAGCAAATTCACTCGGCCAAAAGACAGTGGGGCGTCTTCTGCTGCTGCTGCCACGTTCTCTCGGGGTTTCTTGCCACTTGCCACTGTGGGTGCTCTCAGGGCTCTCGTGTTGTGCCCCCTAAAGGCAGACTTGCCACAAAACCAAATTCTCACCCATGCCTGGGTGCCCCTCTGGCTGACTCTGGCTTCTCCCTTTGTCTTGTCATTGTTTCCATTTTAATATAATTCTCACGTCATAATTGCGTATGGACCCCACTCTACCTCCCCTCTCTTTCCCCCGTGCAAGGTGTTGCCGAAGACTTTTCCCCCCCGTCTAAAACTATGACCAGAATGCAAAGCAAACGGCTGTCCCAGTGCCCAGTGTGTGTGTGCTGAGAATTTCTTGGCCAAAAGACAACAATGCCATAGAACTACACGACAGAGTAGGAGTAGGAGTAGGAGTAGGAGTAGGAGAAGCAGACACAGCGCACTGAACACAAAGACACCAAAAGAGATGGCAACCGGAACCAGCAGATAAAGACGGCAACAGACGACAGACAGACAGGCAGACAGACAGCAGAGGCCATTGACCAAATGTTCTAGAAATGTATGAAAACTTTTGCCATTTCGAACTGGGCTCAATTATTTTGAAGCGTCTGGAAATTGGGTTTAAAATTTGAGAAGAGATTCTAGCAGAGAAATTGGAAATTGTAGGATTAGTTATCGGACCATTTCTGTCTATTTATGTGCATTTTTGTAATGCTAAAAGCATGTCCGAGCATCGATTGGGTTTATTTTTCCTTCATAAATGAAGAATTTTCCCGCTTCCTGCTTTACCCTTCCCATTTCTTACCATTTCCAACACCAAAAAAAAAATTATTTCCGCCAAAAACAGATCACAAACTTTTCCTAATTACAACCTTTACAAACAAATGTACAAAAAGTTAATATTATGTATAAAAAATAGCCCAAAAGTGTGCCCGGAACCGCCCCCATTCATAGATATTTATAGATAAAATAATTGTGTTATCGGAAAGCTAAGAAAGAGCCATTTGCATGCTCTCTCTGTTCTCTGTTCTCCTTTCGAAACTTTTCCTGTTTACTTTTCTTCGAACAAATCGGCCAAGTTAATATGGAAATTTGTTCGATAAATACATAAAACAGTGAGAGCAAAACTTGACCCTAGAACTCGCATCCATTAGCATTTACTTGCACTAAACAAAAAAATGAAAAAGAAATTCGTGTACTTTTGGGGCCTCTCTCAAAGCGGAAATTGAATTTTTCTATGCGGGCATGCTGCACCCTTCTTTTTGTTGCTCTCTCCCTTACCCCCTTGCCCATTGCTCAAAGTTCCTGTGTCCTGTCTTTCATATTATTTTTAATTTCCAGCAATTATAAGAAATTTTTTTTTCAGCTACAATTTTTCTTGCGCGTTTTCTTTCGCCTTGCTGCAGAATGGCATATTCCTCTTTCTTTAATGATAATTTAATTAGTTGCAAGTTGCTGCTGTTGCCAGCGCTGTTGCTGTTTCTGCCTCTGTTGCCGCTGCTGCTTCTGGCTTTTCGCCTCATTAATTGCACTTAACAATTCGTGAATTCTTAATGTCCGAGTCGTGCAAAAAGAGGAGACACAGAAACAGAAAGAAGTGGACACAGAGCAGCAGCGAGACAGTGGGAGACAGAAAAATTGGCGCCAGAATGTCAGGGAAAGTGGAGAAAATGAATGTTAAGATCCAATGACATTTCCGTACTTAAATGTTTCAATTAATAAGAAATTAAAAGTGCACCAAAATCAATGACATTTCGCATTTAATTGTTTTAATAATTAAGAGCAAGGCAGAGAGCAGCCAAAAGTAAGGCATCCTTGAAATTTCGCTCTAAAGTGTCTCAAGAGTGCATATTCCTGTTCTTGGAAATGCAAATTGTCCATGAAAGGCGACATTGAAATCTCTGAGAAATTGATAATCTTCTGGCTGATAAATGCACATAAATCAATGAATGAACTGAATGAGTAGCTACTAGAAATGAATATTTGTAGGCTGTAAATGGATGAAAATGTATGGCAAATGTCCGAGAAATTAACAACAAAATGCTGGGAAATGCAATTTGGACATTAAAATGTTTTTAATTTACTAGAAATTGATATTCTTGGGCTGCATTTACATTTGCTAAATATTTGCACAAAATATTCATGAAGGAGGCTAAGTCCGAGAGAGTCCTTGGGTGCAACATCTGGCAATTTGCCTAAGTGCAACCAAGTGTCGACCTCTCTCTAGCCTCGCTTCTTGCCAGTCCTCTCTATCTAAAGTTTTTAATTAGAAACGCATCCTGAGAAAATGGACAGCGCTAACTCTCTGTCGTCCCCGCCTGCTGCTCCTGCTGCTGCTCATGCCCTTCGTCGTTGTCCTGCCGCCTCAGTAAGCAGTCAAGTGAAATGAGCAAAAGAAATGCGTTGACAACCTCTGGGTTCGGGCAAAAGCTTCTACAAAAGTAACTTTAATGCCAGACAGGGGACAGCAGACAGACAGCGAAAGCGAAATGGGCTCAGAGCTCGAAAAAGAAACAAACTTTTGACATAAATTCCCGCCGAAAAACCCAAAAAGGAGGCTACCGACTTTGCTCTCTCTGTAGCAAAAATGAAAACTGATGCGCTCTGCCAGAGTTGCCACCTACTGACGTGTGATCCGAAGGCCTAGGATTTCGTGGAAGAGACAGTAAGGAGCCATCAGACGACTGCCAAATTAATTTTAATGCGATTTTCATGAGATTTTCATGGCAGTTGCAACTTTTTGGGATTTTAACGATTATTGAAGCTAATGCAAATGCAGAGAGAAATGTTCTATCTTTCCCACTCTCTTTATCTGTCTCTTCGTCTCCCAATTGAGGGAACAATCTATAAAGAACCCAGACAGACCCACGGCAGCACCCTTAGTCCAACAATTTATGGCCTCTCGAGCGACTCGGAACACTTTTTTGGCTTTTTTTTGGACTGGCTTAAACGCCGACTCATGCATATTTGATGCCAAATATAAAGCGGCTATAAATTCTACTTGAAATTTACGCACCAAAGTAAGAGTAATGCGTTAAGAGAAGGGTCCTGCGAGTGCCAGTCAGGCGCCGCCTGGTTGCGCGCCCAAAGGTAGGCAATGGAACTTGGGAAAAAACTTTGTCGTTTGTCCTTTCGGTGTTGCGTGTGTGTGTTTGGATGTGTGGAATGAACTGAAGGACAGTTACAGTCCTTGTTTGCCTTTTCCTAAAGCATATGAAAAAGTTACTTGAAATTGCTTTTCCCTTTTCCCTTTCCCTTATTTCTGTCGCCTTCCTCGAGGCATTGAATTCGAGGACTTGCAGGCGCTCGCTCCCCACATAATGGTTTATTAAGAATTAAACACAACAATTTGTTGCCCTTTTGTTGTTTTTTCCTTTTCCTTTTCCTTTCTTTTTCTTACTTTTAAACCGATTTTTGTTTTGTTTTTATGTTTTCTTTTGTTTTCCTTTGAAGCACCAGCAAGTATGAATGAAAAAAAAGAGAGCAACAGCTGATGAAAATTTCATGGAAATTGAAAAGGTTCTTATGTCGTCGGTTGAGTTTTTGTGTGTGGGTGGGGTCGGAGGGGTCGTCTCGCTGCCGCAGCGTTTGATGAACTTAAAAGTTATGATTGTTGATGATTTTTGGGAATTATAGGAATATAAAAAATAAATGTAAAACAAAAGTTATGCTTTTAGCGTTTGTTGGTCAAGTATTTTTTGTGGGGAATTTTAAATAAGGTGATGAGAAATCAAAAAGGTGTCATTTGAGGGAACAATGTGTGGAAAATGTTGTTAAATATTTAGAGAGTTTCTTTGGTTGCATAGGGAATATTTAAGCTACGAAGAAGATGCCTTTAATGTCTCAAATATGGCCTATAATTCATGGGTGACAACTACAGAAATTATGAAATAAATGGAAGAAGTTTTATACGATATTTCCATGTATACATTCCACGAGAATATTCTTTTATCGATCCATGTAATCTATCATATTAATTCTCATTTCTCCCCTCTTTACTTACAGCTCTCTTAGCGTTGAGCTCCACGATCGTTGCGGACGAGTCCATCGACACGCGTGAGAATGCGGATCTGACGCTCAAGTGCCGCTTCACGGACAAATACGAATCGAATGATTTCTCATTCTTTTGGACACGCTGGACAGCGAATCCTGCACAATTTGATAATGTGGCCATCGGTGAAGTTCAATTGAGTTCCGGCTATAGGTGAGTAAACTCCCCGCCCGTAGACAAGTTGACACATGATGAAAATGGCAGGGATTCCCCCTAGTAGGGCAATGATGTGGGGAAATGTGTGTGTTTGTGTGTTCGGCATAAGTCTAGCCATAAAGTGCATGCCTTTTATGGGGCATGGCCATAAACTGTAACGACGAATGGCCAGCCAGCCAGCCAGCCAGCCCATGCGAGCATTAACAGTTAGCACTCCCAGCGTGGTGCAGGGTACAGTTTGTCCACCAGACCAGAGTTACCATAGAGCCATTTGCTAAGTTAATTAAATGTTTCACACTCCCTCTCCCCCACTCCCATACCTTTGCTATAATGCGATTTATGCATGTGACGACTGACTGAACTTCCAACTTAATTAAAATCAAGTTCTTGGCAATTTAAACAAAATGCCAAAGCAGCAGCCCAGGGAGCCAAATCCCAACGTCCGAGCTTACAAAAGCGTGACACGAAGGCGCAGATAAAAAAGGAATTTAACTTAGAGAGGAGTGTGTGGAAAGAGTGACAGGAAGGCATAGGAAAAAGCTTATTCCAATTAGAGGGCAGTGTTTGGAAAGGGTGCGGCGAAGGCAGTCCTTGATTGGGTTTACGGGGAATGAGAAATTCGATTTTTAAAATAAAATTAAATCCATAGTTTTACTGACTTTTCCTTCAAATTGCTGAATATCAGATCGTAAGAGTAATTTGTATTAAAATTTAATGTCTTAAAGCTACTTTTACTGCAAGTAAACTGAGAATTTAGTCACAGAAAACACATCTAAAGATATCGGACTCAATTAATCTCTCCTCATTCGTCGTATTTCATGCTTGAATCACGCCTCACGCTCACATCTCTAGCATTTCGAATTGGGTGGCGTTTGGGTGTCGCTTTAATCCTTAATGTCAACGCCGCGTGTTGCATGTTCAGACAATTATGAGGCACCACCCGCCACCGCATACACTCACACCCTGCCACCCTGCCACCCATAAAGCTCATGTGCACACACTCTCTCCCATCAGTATGTGCACAGTCAGTCAGTCGGCTGGCTGGCCTCACATATGGCCTTCCGCCTGCCCGCCAGCCTATTGGTGTTGGCCGTGTTTATGTTTCGTTTTCATTACCTCCCCTCCCCTCTAGTACCCGTCGTTGCCCCCCCACAAACGTTTTCAATTGTATTTTTATTTTGCTTGGTGCCTTCGACTTCCGTTTCCTGTCGCTCGCCCGTTTGCCCGCTGAGGCTCAGCTTTTTAATGCCTGTTCTGTTCTCGGCCAATGCTGACGCTGTTGTTGCTGCCACTGCTGCACGGGTTTCTTTATGTGGCAACGCATAAATTTTAAGTGCCACACACTGTACACTGCGGAGGCCACAAAATGCAGCAGCGTCGGCGGTGGCGTAGCTGCCATCCGTTTCGTTTCGTTTCGTTTCATTTCGTTTTTGGTTTGTCGACTGCCGCTGGCCACAAGCCAGGAGCAGCTCCCTCTCTCTTCTATATCCTCTATCCGGAATATATGTACCATTGGTAGGTGGATTTCTTTTGGGTGTGTAATAAAAGCAAATCAACAAACAACAAATGCGAAAAAAGAACGCAAGGAGCAACGAGAGACGAGAGTGTGGGGTAGCCAGAGGAGGTATTAGTGGGGCAACCAGCTGAGGCACGACTTTGGAGAGCAGTTCTCAGAAGGAGCCACAGAAATCGCAGCTTCTGCGGCTCCCGAACCTCTCGGAGAGTGTAAAATATTTATTATATTTCGTTTTTACTGCAGAATTTGCGCCGAAAGCCAAATACAAGTAAAGGAAAACAATACGAAATAAGCTGGAGAATGGGGACACAAGAAGAAATCCCACAGCCAAAAGACGCAGCTCCCCTCTCTTTCTCTCTCTCTCTCTCTCTCTCTCTCTAAGACTCTTCTCTGGTGCGCCTGCATCTTGCTCTCTCTCTCTCACCCTCTGTGAAATAATCTGTATCTTTGTTCTCCCATGGATACCCTCCAGAGCAGGGTTCCTACTGCTCTATGTCTCCGCTCCGCTCCCCTCTCTGTTCTTCTCTCCATATCCTAAGTCCCATCTGTGTTACAGCAAAAGTGAAATTACTGCAAATTTGTTGGCCAAAACTGGGGGAAAAAACAAGAAATTACACCATTTTTTTGGTGTTCGCTTTCGGGCCAAAATGTCGCGACAGAGAGGGTCGAAAGTGGGCCAACAGACAGGGACAGGAGTCACAAATAAAGAGGGGAAAAGAGATAGCACGAGAGAGAGAGTGAGGGAGAGAGGGAGACACACACAACAATTCTCCTGGCTAATATTTCGTTGGAACATTTAATTTAACGAGACATCAGGGGAATGTGTGCTGGCTGCTGGCTGCTGGATGCTGGATGCTGCTGTAGAGATTGAGAAACAATGAGCGGAGACGTCAACGGCAACGACAATTGTCGAGTGGCTTTCCCCGCTCTCTTCCTCTCTCTTACACCCTCTCTGAGTGTATCTTTTCCGTTACTCGAGTGCGGAATTTCTGCTCTTCAGTCACTCTGGGGGGTGGGGCAAGATATTCGATTGCGTACTTAAGGGGCTGCTGAAAATCGTGTATAGATCATTTGGCTAAATGTTATGCCAGTGCCCAGACATTAAGAAGCAGAGGAAACAGGAAAATCTGATAAAAGTAAGAGAAGAGGAGCCCAAATTGATGAGGGACGATACATCCAATGGAGTGCTGCACGAGAAAGCTGTGCAAAGGAAGAGAAGAAATCTGTTGAAAGTTTGTGAAGCAGAAGTACCATGAGAGACTGAAGATTTCATGGAATATTTTAAAGTTCTTTTGTAGTTACAGGAAATAAGTTATTATATAAATATAGGCCCTACTCTGACATCAAAGAAAAGATCTAGCTAGATCTATAGCAATCTATCTTGCTATGACCATGCCTTTGTGGACCCTTCCTTTGATCACTCCTCATGGACACATTTTCTCTCTCCCTTTGGGGCAGATTTTAATCTTCAATGTCCGACCCTTAATATATTCATAAGAGCAGCTCCTCAAACCATCGCTCATTTGTTTAAAAACTTGGCTCAAAAGGTCGCTTGTGGGTGTATTTATACCCATTATTTAATCCTCCCTTTAGATCCTTATTATTTTATCCTCAGAAATGTTTTCTTTTGGCTCGAAGGAATCTCCTTGTGTTTCTGTTTCTTCTTATCCGAAATAATTGGCGGCCGTTTAAGCTCCTGTCTGAACCTCTGACCAGCAAACCAACAAAAATTCCAACTAAACTTTTTGTTTTGTGCAGAAAATCGCGGAATTGAGGACAACAACGAGTCGCAAATTGCAGGAAGGGGCAAGTCGGTAAACTTGAAAATTGCAACAACATGGCAGTGCCCGGGGCACACAGCCTGCCTTCCCTTTCTCCCCCTTGTCCCTTGAGGCAGCTTTGCTGGGCTTTCTCTTATCCTCCCAGGAGACGTCGCTCGCTTTTTTTTTTGTTGGTTGCCTCTCAAGGACGCGCGCTCAATCCGGCTGCTGCGGTGTCCTGTGCGCTCTTCTTCTCGGCTGATTTTTTATAATTTAAAGCGCTTTTCATTTTTGCGCCATCGACGGGTTGGCTGGAGGGTTGTGCAGCGGGGAGTGTCCCCAGAGCGGACGCTGACTGCGCTTTGCCAGCACTTTTTATAATTTGCACTTTTTGTTGTAGCCAGAGAGGAACAGGAGCAGGAGCCAGGCACGTGCTGTTGCTGGAGGGAGCTCCTCTTGCTCTGTCTCTCGCGCTCGCCCTTGCCCCAGCTGCAAATGAGCAAGTCGCCAGAGACGTGGCCCCAAAAAGGGAACCAAAGGCAAGGGGATACTGATAGTGGCAGGCAGGCAGCAGCAGCAATAGCAAATAGAACATGAAAGGAAGAACAAGTTTTGGAGGCTCAGCAGCATAAGATACCCTAGAAGAAAAAATATCTGAAATAATCAAAAAATTGTAGTGAACTTTTGTTCATCTGCAAAGAAATTAATTCCAAAATTCTTCCTTTAAATAATGTTCGAATTAATCCATAAATATTTCTGAAATTCTTTAATCAATGAATCAATTTTTGTCTACTACTTGCTCAGCCCTGTGAGGGTTCATCATGCCCCTTTCGCTGTGTTAGAGGGTATAGAAATAATAATACAACAAAAAATATCCAACTAGACAAGGCAAGGACATCCCAGAGTGAAGCGTAGAGTAGAACAGAGAATGACGAGAGGGTGCTGAAGGGAACGCTGCATGTAGGATTGGGACATGTCTGTGGAGAATTCAGTAAATTTGCTGCCCTGGCTTTTGCTCTCTGTGGGCGCCCCTCCTCTCCCTTTTACTAGTGTTTTCCCCTCTATACTTTTTTGTGGATTGTCTGAATTCTATTTCGAGAGAGCGTCCGATTTTTTCAAGAGCAAAAGTCCAGCGGTTGCTGCCTCGGCTGCTGCGGTTTGCTGCTTTGGCAAATTACATTTTCCCACTGATGCGTGTTTGTTGCTGTTTTTTTTTTTCACAGCAATTAGCACAGGGAAAACAGGAGAGAGAGAGAAAAAGTCCCCGAGTTAATCAGTTCCCCACACAGTTTTTTGCTAATCTTTTTCCCTCTCTGCGGCAGCTACCATTTAGCTGCTCTATTAACGCCTCGAGCTGTCGTCCAATTAGAATCATAAAAATTGTCTAGACCGTAGAAATGAATGCAAAAGCTGAAGCAGTGGCGGTGGCCACGGACCTGAAATTGAAGCTTCTCCTCAGTCTTAAATGAAGATGAGAAAAGGAGCCTTCAAGATGAGAGCCAATTTCGGGACAGCAGCAAGCAGGCCGTCAGTCGTCAGCCAGGCTTGACAAATGAACTTGTGAAAAGTTGCAGGAGCTTCGAGAGGACGAAGAGGGAATGCCATCTTGTTTGCCAATCTAATAAACTGCTGACTGACCAACGATGAAAGCAGGGAGGGAACAGGACGCTCCAGAGGAGGGAGGAAACAGCCAGCAGTCGGTGGAGAGACAAGAAGCCAGCGAAGCGCATTCGGGCGGGCATCAATTTTCAGTAGTTGTCCAGGGCAACCGATAGAGACGACAACGACAACGACGACGACGACGACAAAATAATCATCAGCATCCATTCTATTGAGAAATTGTGAAAAATCGCAACCAAAAAAGCAAAAGCAAAAAATGTGAACACCAGAAGTGGCCTTGAAATATTAAGACATTGACAAAATGAAGCCAAAACCAGGACGAAGCGAGAACGAAGAGAAATGACTGTCTCGGACAGAAGCCAACAGCAGAAAATTGACAAAGTTGTGGGGAGCAGCAGAGACAGGCTCTCCAGCAGCCAGTACCAGTACCAGCCCGAAGCCTCATTCCGCTGCTGGCAATCTCCCTCGTTGATGATAGATGAAAGACGAGCAATTTCTAGATATATTGAATATGGAACTAAAGACGTGATTTGGCTTAAAGATGTGCGTCGTGGTGCATGGAAAGTGGCTGAAAGTGAAAATGGTTTCAGATGAAGGGAATGTAAAGAAGTTGGCAGCAGATTTCTTAGGATAAAAGTTGTGGGCAGAAATGCCTAAAGAAGGAAATGTGTCGTGGCATTTCTGTTTTTAACAGCGATGCTTTATGGAATTAATATCGTTCCCAGCACATTTGAGAGATTTCCTCATGGAAATGCACTTAATCATTTCAATAAACTCCCAATAATTCCCTTTGAATAAATTCGTATTTTCTTGCCATCAAAAATTGACACACGCACACCAAAAATGATGAGTAAATAAATTCAATTTCGGAGTATATTTCGTATGTCCATGACATGTTTTCTATGACACATTTATTTCCCAGACAAATACTCGATAAATGTCTTACCATTTCGTTTCTTATTTATTTCAAAGTTTGTTTATTTATTTCAACAAATATTCAAAGCACAGAAACTAACGAATCAAATCGAAACTCTGTGTCGCTCGCTCTCTTCTACCATTTCCAATAAAATTCTACCAAAAAGAATGTTCAATTTTCCAATTATACAATTTTTGCAATTAATTTGGCTTTGCCTTTCGAGTGTGGGGGCTGCTGCTGCTGCAAAGCAATTACCTCGAAAGGAGCTCCTCAGGAGATCTTCTAATAGTCCAGCAAATAACAATAAGGAAAATACAAACAGACCTGGAGCAAAATCTAGGTGTATTTTTGTGTAAATTTCTGAGCGAAACACTCTCTAGAGAGGGTATAATTATTAAGGGGAGAGGTTTGTGTGGGAAATATGTAAAGCAAGGAAGAACAGAATGAATGGATGAGTTATGGATATGCTATGGATGCTATTTGCTTGTGTTTTGTCCACCCAAATCCATGCTTAAACATTATCATACTAGATCAGAGTTCTTCACTCTTTCTATGCATCTTCAAGTGTATCTCGAGCTTCGGTTCTTGAGTTATATTTCCCCATTTCTTATATGTTTCTTTTTTTTGTGTTTCTATTTACCTTTCACTTGGCTGACGCCTGCGGGTGAGAGCCAGCCGTCATCTTATTGGAAAGTTGTCTAGGAAAAATATGCAAACATTTATTCGAACGTTGATTTTATTTATGTTGCCACAGAGAGGAGCCCCTCGAGAGCTGCTGCCTCTGTGTGGATGTCCTCTCTCAGCTCGTCAAATATTACCATTTTGTATTTATTTATATTTTGGGGGCGAACGTTTAAAGTTCGGCCACCTGCGGGCAGCAGGAAGTGGATGCCACAGGACCCTCGAGGCAGTGCACAGAGTGGGGAAATTCAATATTAGCACAATTAGTGATTGGTTACCCAAAAGAAGGAAGAAAGAGCGGCGACTGGAGGGAAGTTTTCAAATGAAAATAAATTGATTTCTGACACAGCGTGTGGTGCAGCTCTGGAGATCTTTGAACTTTCTGAATGTATTTTTGGTACTTAAATACGTTTATTTGTTGCATGATTTCAGACTCGACTTTCAACCGGAGCGCGGCATCTACGATCTGCAGATCAAGAATGTCTCCTACAGTCGCGATAATGGACGCTTCGAGTGCCGCATCAAGGCCAAGGGCACCGGCGCGGATGTCCATCAGGAGTTCCACAACCTCACGGTGCTCACACCGCCACACCCGCCTGTGATCTCACCCGGCAACATTGCCGTGGCCACCGAGGACAAGCCCATGGAGCTGACATGCAGCAGCATTGGTGGCTCCCCCGATCCCACCATCACGTGAGTCTCTCTTAAAGAATATTTTTGATCGGAAAGCCAAACCCCCATCTAATATTTGTTCCTTGCCGCTTTCCCAGTTGGTATCGCGAGGGTTCCAACTCTCCCCTGCCCGCCACAGTGCTGCGCGGCGGCACCAAGGATCAGCCCACAAATGCCACACTGACGGTCACCCCACGGCGTGAGGATGATGGCGCCAAGTACAAGTGTGTCGTCAGGAATCGTGCCATGAACGAAGGCAAACGATTGGAGTCCACCGCTACATTGAATGTTAACTGTAAGTGGAAGAACTTTTTAAGGAGGTTTTTGTTACGGCATAATCAGATGCTGAAAGAAGGTTACCTGGGAGTGCACTTGAAACTTGCATATGGAAAAGGGAGTCTCTGAGCATTCTTAGAGATATTTTTGGCACCAGAACCTAAAGCTTCGAATTGAACTCGAAATTCTTGCAGCAACAATTTTTGAGGCATAAAGTCTCTTTGGCCCTAGAAAAGCCACACCCACAATAGCCCTTAATTGAAGTAGGAACCCTGGATGTGGCACTGTCCAGTGGTAATCCCACGCCATTCATTAATTACTCACAGAATCCACTTGAGCAGCATTAATAATTTCCACTCCGCTCTGCTTGAATAAAAATATTCACATAAATTAGTGGCTCTTGGGAGCTGAGCTGTGGCCAGTTCGACTGTCTGTCTGCTGGGTCTGCCTTCGAGTTGACCTTCTGCTCTGCTCCCTTGCTTGGGGATCACACATTGAAGGGATGGGGATTGGGGATCGCTTAATTAGCATGTTGCACAGCAATTACCAGTGCAAGTGCAACGGCAGCAGGCAGCCAGAACTATTTGCATAATGAAGCAGGCCACACCGACGGACATTCATTTATTCAACACAACCAAAATGCACAATGGGACAACATTTAACCCTGTGCTGTGCTCTGGCTGCTTTGTTTATTCCTTCTAAATGCGCTGACACATTTCGTTTAAAATGTGTGGCAGCCGTGTGGCCGTGTGTGGCTAACAGTGTGCCACATTTAGATGCACAACAATCATTGTATAATCGCATATATCTTTTTTAAAAAGCCAACACAAAGCCAAAGCCCTTGCCCCCCCGGACACAAACACATAAATTACAAATGCCTCTGCCTCTGCCTCTGCTGTGGAATCTAAACCCCCAAGTAATTAGAATAGAAATTTATGTGCCGACTGCCAGGCCAGCTCTCTGGCTAGTCTGTGCAGTTGCAGTTGTTGTTGCAACAAGTGGCACAGGCAGTGTGGCAGTCACAGTGGCAGTGTGACCTGTTAACGTTGGGGCTATTAGGGCTAATCAAAAGGCAAATAAAGTGAAATATTGCTGTCCGCCTGTCCGTCTGTTGGCGGCAATCGACTCGCATTGTGGCCCAAGAGCCACCAGCCAGCCAGCCAGCCCCCGCACCAATCCACAAACTCAACTTTTGCACACCTCTACACCCCTCGTACCCTTAGCCCACTCCATGCACAGCTCTGGCGCTAGTTTGCTATTGCTCTCTGGCTATCAAATGTGTAATTAATTCGAAAACAACACACACACACACACACACACACTCGGAGCAGTAATAGCTGTGTGGCAGATACTTGAGTGTGGGATTTGTGCCTGAACCAAAAGCGAAGCCAGAACCCCACGCTAATTGCATTTTGCATGCCAAGAGAGGGAGCGAAAGGGAGATTTAAAGTTATAGTGGAGCAAAGAATATGGAAATTGTTCAACTAAATTGGCAAAAGGAGGCCAAGGATATGGATTTTAGCGAGCGGGCAACAGGGAAGGCAGAAACTTTTAGAATAATTCGTTTGAGAGAGTTTTCGGTGAGGATATTGGGAAGAGAATAGACTGAAAGAATCGTTGACTGAAGTCCTTCTAGAATTATTTATTGGTTTCAGCCACCATTGCATGTGTTCTGTGTGCTCTTTGCACCCAAATGAACTGTAATTAAGATACAATTCCACAAAGTATATGAAAAATCCCACACTTGTCGTACAACCTTCAAAATCAAAGCTCAAACCAGAGCGGAAACTGAACCAAAAACGCATCTTATCAAGTTGTAAAATCATCTAAAAGCTGTTAACACTAAACCAAACAAAAAAGGCAAGTGCGTGGGCTTCATTCAAGCTTAAAATTGAATGATTTTCACACACACACACACACACACACACACACACACCAAAACTCGTTAAGCGAATGAACTTGCAATTCAGAATATAAATTTCAATAACATATTTATTCATTTATCAAGCGAACAGCACACGGCAAGCGGCGGCCACTCGACACTCGTAAAAATTCATTAAAGCCACCGCCAACGCTCTGCCGTGAGTGTGTGTTACACATGTCGTATGAGTAATATGGCCCACCTAACAGACCTAAAAACATCATAAACAAGTGGAACTTAACGACTGAACCAAACCGAACAGAAACGAACATTAATTAGCAGACCCAGACCCAGACCCAGTCGCCCAGCTGCCTGCTCAAATGCTCTTCAAATAGCAGAGGAAGAGGCAGAGGAGGTGCACAAAAACGAGTAAATTCCAATAAAATAGAGCGAAAAATAGAGTGTAGGACTTGTGTACATATGTAGAAATATATACAGATAGATAAATACATAGGCGTATTTGTATTTGTGGCCTATATATAGGTCGCTTGCGGTTTAATTAGTTGAGCCTCAGGGCCAGAAGCCAGAAGCCACAGGCCATCGCCACACCAACGACTCCCACTCGAACGAGTGGGCATCTGTGTCTGCGGCATCTCTGTTTCATTTGTTTTCATCTATAAAACATGTTTTTAGTAGTTCAAATGTTTAATCAAATGTTTTTAATTACGCACAAAAAAGCGGAGTGGGACAAACCGCAAAAGGTTTATTTTAGGAGCGAGATTTTGTGTCAAAAAAATGTGATTTATAAATGCAGGAAAAACTACATTTTACAATAAATGTTCCGTACAAAAGGAAAGGAAAGGAAAGAGCTCGGAACAAACAAAATCCAGCAGCCAGACAGGCAGAGGATATGTGAACTCTGCTGATTGTTGAGGATTTTACACTTTTGGTCAACAATTCCACCTCAAAGTCTCGTCTCAGCTCATCCCGTCTCGAGTCTCAGTTACCTCCGGTTTCCTGGGTGGCTCTGGCTCTGCTCTCTGTGTGCTCCGTTGTCCACGCTTCAGTGGAGAGACTCCGGACCCGTAATGCGTTTTTAAGAGAGACAGGGACCCTGGAGCTAAGTCCATTCGTACCCTAAGGCGTAGATCAAACAGGGAAATGATGTGTCCTGTGCCTTTCAGGCACTTGTGCGGTTGCTGCGGGTCCAGCGACCAGAGGCAGAGCAGCATCCTGTTGCCATTGGGACCAAACCCTTGTCTGTCTCTGTGTTTTTTTTTGCCTCTGTTTTGTTTTAGCAGCACAGGGGAAACGTTTGAGCAGTGAAACAATTTAATTGAAATCAACACCAGGAGCCAGGAGAGATATCCCTTTTCGCTCTCCCGCACACTTTGATTTACGCCACGCAATAAAAATTCACTTTTCTGCTGGTCTTTTCGTTGCTTTCTCTGCCCCATTGACACATAGAAATTAATCAGAGACTGAGCCACGGGTTCGCTCCTTCTTGGCCTAATCTTTGGCTAATAATTCATCGGCCAAAATGCCCGGGCAATAAATCGCAGGAGCCAACAATGGCCAAATTGTCGCGCTAATAACCGCAAAATGACAAAATGAAAATTGCCAAAAACGCTCACTGCCAAAATCAACGTCAACCCTTGAGGCATTGCAGGGGGATTGGAGGGAAATGAAAAGTCAAGTTTAATCTGGAAGGGAGCCCTGGCTAATGTATTGCCATTTGGAGCCCCGAAGGCTGCTGACTGCTGGTTGCTGGTTGCTGGTTGCTGCTTTTCGGTTCCTGATGAGGCCAATCGGATCTGGATCTGTCGCTGCAAGGAAGCGGAATGATGGGAAGGAGTGGGGTGGGAGTGGGAGGGGAAGGTTGGTACTGGGATACCTGGCGAAAAGTAGGCAAGCAACAGACAGCTGCTTTATGGCGGAATATAACGAAGGGAGCGCCTTGCCACGAGGTGGTTGCCATGGGACAGGACACGGTACTGTGGGTTAGCAGGGGTTAGGCGGGGGTTAAGGGTGTTTGGCTTTTGTTTTTGATTCTAAGCTGACAAGGCCGGAACGGGGCGGAGGAGGTCTTTGTTGGGTGTTGCTTCCGCTTCCGCTGCTGTCAAATCTTTGGAGCCCAGCAGCAGCACAAAACCCGCTTAAGTTTTGTTGCCGGCTTAGCATTTTGCGGGACAACAGAACATTTGCAGAGAAAAGTGATAAATTTATAGGTCTAACAATTGGAAAGTGTCAGCGAAGAGTCAAGGAAGGTTGTGGCACTGAAGGAGCCGAGTCCGAGATGATCTTGTCCATCAGCGAGGCAAGAAAAGGCAGAACAGAATATAGAAACGATCAGAATGGTTATTAGAATTAGCTTCAAAATATGTTCCCACTTGGGATCTATGGAAATAATACTTGGAAATATAATTATCCATGTTTTATAGATTGAAAACTAAACGGATTATTAATATATTCATTGCAACTTTTAATCTTTAACATCGTAGCACCTACAGAAGCTTATCGAAGAGCTGAAACTCTTAACTCCCTTGCAAAAGTCGTGCAATTTCTTTTGCTTATCGATTGAATAATGTTCTTTATGGAACTAACAACATTATCTACTTGTCCTATTTATTCATTTACCTTTCAAAAACTGTCGCCCAACTCCGATTATCGTTTAATTCCATCGAAACTTAAGTGGAAAAATGTTTTTCCCAACAGTTTTTATCGTTCAGAGCCCTTCAACTGAGAAAGGCGGTTAAAGTAAGATGAGAGTTGCCTTAATGAGTATTTTATAAAAAAAAAAGAGAATCATAATTAAGCGAGCAACCAAGCAGTCGGATGCCAGGCCCAGAGATGGATGCTATCCATCCTGCCAGATCTGCACGCCGCACAAGTGCAGCTCTGCAACTGGCGCTCCGCCCTTACCCGAGGGTCCATCATTATTTTCCATAGTTTAATGTCAGGCAATTAACTTTTGTCTGGGTCCCCAAAGGCGTAGCAGGAGGCAGACATAAAACGCCATGGAAACGAAGTGGAGTCTCTGAGTAGGAGGAGATTGGCCTGAAGTGGAGTGGAGTCTTTTAGGCCTGGGCCTGTCACATGACCTGCCATTCAGCGATGAGATCATGCATAAAAAAGCCTCAGAAAACAGAGCAGAGAAC